ACCTTGGGTAATAACCAGGATCCGGTTATCACAATTTATCATAGGTTCTTCTTGAGAATCATGATGTAGAGAGAAGATTATTTGATTTTCGTGACTTTTAGGCAGTGTTAATCCTGTACATCCTGCCGCATTGTTGGTGAAGAACAAGCAAGGTTCAAGAAAAAGCAAGCTGGTCCAACTAAATGCACATATGAATAACATAATAACCTTTTCATTTGCATGGTGGTATAGTCAAAACATAAAGTGTTTGTATACATACCTTCCATACATAAGATGTGAAATTTAATTGTGCACTTAAACTCTAAATTAAGATATGAGTTTGGTTTAGTATATGAAGTCCTCCAATATGCTGTTGTTGTCATTGTTTCTCTAGGTCCAGAATCTGTTATACATTTCATCTTGTGAAAAGCAGCTGTTAAATGTTAGAAAATAATGAAGCTGTACTAATTTTTCTTCTTTCTTTATGCCCTGTGTAGATCCTGAACTCATTATCCTGTTTACTTGTCATCATCAGAGGTTCTTCTAGCAATTCCTCCGAATCCCAGGTATGGAGCATTTATAGCATCCAAACTTTCAAATACTCCTATAGACTTGATTATGATTTTTAGGAAGAAGAATGAAAGCAAGTGTAGTGAGTTTGGTTTAGTTATAGAAAGCATATGCAGATGTCTTAAAGCTAAAGTTTTCATTAAGTGTGGAAAGATATCTCTGCATTTCTTGATATATTTATATCTATGTCTATATATACATACATACATACATACATACATATGCTACTAATAAAAGCTTAGTTTATACAAAGTTTCCATTTTAAGATCTTATGTACTTTATTATTGCTTGAACTTCGAACATCAGGCATGTTTGAAGCGTGTAAATGTGTATCGTGTGCATATGTATAAAGGGATATTCTTTTTCCATTAAACCATATATAGATTAAGTTGTCTGTATGAATTAAACTAAATTGTTATTTGTTTGTTGTTTTGAATAAACTAATGTAAATGGATTGTTGGTAAACGTTTTAAACCCCGCAAGCACTTTTTCCTCACCTACCAGGTAAGACCTCGGTCTTGGTCCTTGTCATGCTCAGTCGGTAAGGTAAGTGATACTAATAAGCGCTTATCCGTAAGCATTTAGTAAATAGCCCCTGAGTTGAAGAGTTCTTACCCAAATTGTTTTTATCAGTATGCAATTACTGATAACCATTTTCAGTTAGCGAGATTACTCGGACCGAACCTCTTACACATACCGCACTTTTACCTGGTTAGCACTTGCCCAATTTGAGTTGGTAAACAACCCCTTAATGTAGCTTGATGTAATGGGAGATTGAAAGACTTATTCCAACAGTTTTGTGTACATTTTTTGAGTGAACGTGGGTATCTGGGCCAGCTTACGCTACCAACCAATGCCTGGAGTCATTATAAGTTGGTAGGTAAATCTCCATGGCCACAAGGGTTTTGGCAGTGCCAAAATCTTCCCCCAAGCTTAAGTATTGTACATTTGCAAACAAGTAATAATAGGGCCTCTGATGAACGACATGTTTCTAATTCTGCAGATTTGCATCGACTACCCTAATGAATATTTAGTGTCAATAAATGGGACGGTTGGCAGCTATGAAGGATTTGATGTAGTGATGTCATTATGCTTTGTCACGAATAAGAACTGTTATGGTCCTTATGGTTCGGATACGGGAACTCGTTTGTCATGCAATGGTAAAGGTGGAATAAATGTGGGATTTCATCGTGGTGTTGGAAAATACCTTGATGCTGTTGGGATTTATGTGATGCCCAAATCATTTGCGTTAGGTCGAAACTCTGCATTTGAAAACTATTCCACGCATGAGGTTCATCCCATGGTATTTAAAAGTCCCATTTTGGTATTTTTGTTCTGTTTTTAGTGTTTAACCATTGATAATTCAAGCCTTATATCTAAAACTTATATTAAAAGCCTATTTTGTTATCAACTAATGGGTATTTCACAGTCGAACATTGGTCATGTTTTTTTGTTAAGAAAGGGTTGTGCTACCATGTATCTATAAAAATTTCCTCTAAGAAAACCACTTTCATGGTGTTTTAAAATTAAAATATCATCGTGATTCTGTTTTTTTGCAACAACTTTGTTCTAGAATGGTAATGTCGAGGGATGTAGGACATTGGGGTGCTTTTGGAGGTAAACCATGGGATGATGGAGTTTTCTCCGGTGTCGAAAAAGTAATTGTTTATGGCGGAGTGTCGTTGAATGCGATTTGTGCCATTCAATTTTTATATGTTAAAAAGGATGCTAAATCTGTGTTTGTCAACAATGCATGGGGGAATAAGTGAAGATGAAATAGAACTGCTATCAGTAGTATGTACAAAAATTACAATATGATTTTTTGTATTTTGTCAACCTCATTATCGGTCTAGACTAATAACCGAATCTTAACCTTGTGTTTGGCAGGTTAATTTGGATGGTGTAGATGAGTATTTGACTGGGATTTCGGGGTTTTATGGACCCGTTCAAGGGTACAATGGACTGGAAGCTATAATGTCCATCACTTTTCATACAAACAAAACGATACATGAGCCGTATGGAGAAAAAAGTGGTGCAGGGTATACTTATTTCACTTCAACTGTATCTCCTGGGGAAGTTGTTGGTTTTCATGGCAGGAATGATGGTTTTGTAAGTGCAATTGGTGTTCATATGGAGTATTCCTGAAGATTGTGTGTAGTTTTTTTGGTAAGATGCATGAATCAATGGTAATTGCATCAAACTTATATGTTTTGTGGTTTTTTTTTGAAGAACTTTGTAGGGTCAATTCAGAGTTCAATTTAGACATGTTTCTGGTAATCTATACAAGCAAAACTTTGGGACGGATTTGGATAAGGCTACGAACGAGCTCGTACTTCATGTACAGCCTGATGAAGTCAATTATCTCAAGATCAATAATAAGATTCCTGGTTGTGGAATGAGGCTCGATCGCAGCGACCTTAATTTGCTCTACAATACGAGGTAATAGCTTTGGTTGTTCATATGATCTCGTAAAATAATTCTAAGAGAATTATAACACATTTAATGAGAATCTGTATTGATGATGAAGGTATTCGAAAGAAATCCCGGAATGCATATGAGTGGTTTCTGTTGGATGCGATCGAAGGAGAATGCAGATTGTTCATAAGAAGTGATGAACTCGATGCTTCTTGGTCTATATTCATGCCATTGTCGAAAGAACTTGAAGCCAAGAAGATTGCACCAGATCTGTATCTGTATGTCAGCAGAGAATCCGTCAGAGCTCATTATCTGGCAGCAAACTACAATGTCCGGGGGGGATCTCACCAGCGACGACTGAGTCGCATGTAAACGTGCTATTTTTTGTCAATCTTAAATACTTTATTACAAAAAAATTAAATATCTACGTTTCCATTTTAATTTTTCTGAAAACAAGTGTATTTTCAAAAGTAAATTGACTGCATCATGATTTTATCTTTAATCATGTGATGAAGAAATTCGTTACTTCCTCTATAATTGGAGGTCAAATATTCATTTTCTTGATTAAAAAGTGGACATTTTTCATTTTGAACATTTATTTTGGGACTAAAAAAATATTTTTATGGGATTATGTCAAGGTGCTAAAAGGCGCATCCGTAGCATAAGACGCATCCGTGTCGTTACAATAAGTCCGATAGCTTTTGTGTAAAGTGTGGATCCCTTGAGGCGCACAACGATTTAGGTTTTTTACAAAGCATGTTTTTACAACTTTTTAAAAGAATATCAAGTTTTGTAATGAGTTTTGAGTATATGGATTTAGAAACCAAATATGTGTGCAATTATTTTTTCATTCGATCTTGCAAATGCACCATATTAACCTTCAACTTTAATTAGTTGACTTGCAAAATAACCATATAAACTCATAATTCAAGACCAGATTAATGTTTCAGAATTGTGATTCATCTGCACTGCACTGCGCAGGTACACCACTAGTCTAATAATATATATATATATATATATATAGTATAAGAATCTAAATATATATATATATATATATATAAAGTAATTTGTAAATAATATATAATAAATTAATATAATAATAATGTAATAAACTGTAATATATAAAAYCAAAAWTATAAAATAATAAAGTAACATAAAAATAATAAAATAATATATATTTTTCTAATGTAAATATATAAATAAAACAAAATTAATAAAATATTAATATATAATTAATTGAGTTGATGTTTATGAAAAGAAATGATGGGTTCAATTTCCAAGAAGTCAACACCCCTTACTAAGGGGGTGCCATTAGACCATCCATACACGCCTTGCAAAGCAATTGCAAAAGCAATTGCAAAAATGCAATTTTGTGCCACATAGGATTTCACTTGCATTATTTGCAAGTCAATTTGCAAGCCACGTGGCCCACTCACTTCTCTCCAATTTTATTTTTTTCTTTTAATTATTTAAATAAACTATTTTTATAAAAACAATTACTTTTATAAATTAATAATGTTAATATATTTTTAATTACATTAATTATATAATAAATTAAATTATTTTAAACATAAAATTATAATCTTATATAAAATTACATATAACTAACATAAAACACGCACGATTAACAAAACAACACAAATAAAATTACATGTTTATTCGTCTAAAAGTTGACGGATTTTTTTATCGTACAATTTTCGTTGTTGGTCTGTCATAGTTGAAGGATCCATTTCCATCAATCCGATTGTCAATTCTTCTTTTTTAAGTTGATCTTTCATCTTCTCCCGTTCTTCTTTCTTTCTCTCTCGTTCCTCTTTCTTTCTCTCTCGTTCTTTTATATTATATTTGTTCATTGCTTCTATTTTTTCAGCATCAAGATTGAATTGTTCTTTCATCGCCTCTTTGATACGGTCGATAGAGTTAGTTGATATAGATTTTTGTGTACCTTTATCCTTTGAAGTTTTCGTTCCCATTGGATGAGCAGTCGACGTTAGCTCGGGGGTCGACGTGTTTGTATTTGAGGATGATGAGGTATATTAGCCCGAGCCATCATTTTTTGTCCTCTTTGACCCCCTATCTTCTACTAGATCAACAACCTCCAGAGGTCTTTCTCGTTGACTGATCCATTTTTTTTGATCACGCAATTCAACCCAAGCATGCAAGAAGTTGAATTTTCTACCTTCTAACGAGCTATATAACTCTAAAGCCCTGATTTTTTTGTCTTCTTCATTCAGCCCACTTTCACGTCGGTGTAGGATCTGTTCATAATAACCAACAAACTTTGAAACGGCATGATTTATTCGACTCCAACGATTTTGAAGTGCTTGACGATTCCTACTAGTTTGAGAAATCGTGTCACGATTCACATCGTAATATTCAAGTATAYGCTGCCAAAAATTCAGCCTACTTTGACCAGTACCAACTGTTGCATCTTTGCCTATGTTGAGCCAAGCACTACACAACAATATGTCATCTATGGTTGTCCATCGGGTTTTTTCATTTTTAGAACCGCTTGCTTGCTCCGGCACGAGATTTGGTTGTGAAGAAAATTCTGGAAATTGAGAAGGAGGAGTAGTAGGATTTGGATAAAATGGCATTTGAAAATTTAGTGGATAGTTAGGATTTTGGTACATCGGCATTTGAAAATTGTTAGGGTTCATCATAGGAAAGTTAGGATTAGGATACATTGGAGTAGGAGGATTTATGTTTTGTGCATCATCATTTGGATTATGGGATGAATGTTGGGAAAAATTGAAAAATGGGTTGAACTGGGGCTTTGATGGATCCATTAGAAGTAGAAAATGCAGAGATATTGAACCGAGCCCACACTATATATAAGGGTAATGGTAACCCAAGTCACGGGGTGAACAGTAGCCGAAGTCACGGGTGAACAGTAGTCGCTAAGAGTCACGGGGTGAACAGTATCCGAAGTCACGGGTGAACAATAGTCGCTAAGAGTCATGGGGTGAACAGTAGCCGAAGTCACGGGTGAACAGTAGTCACTAAGAGTGCGGGGTGAACAGTAGCCGAAGTCACGGGTGAACAGTAGTCACTAAGAGTGCGGGGTGAACAGTAGCCNCGGGGTGAACAGTAGCCGAAGTCACGGGTGAACAGTAGTCGCTAAGAGTCACGGGGTGAACAGTAGTCGCTAAGAATTTGATATAAATACAATTATACGTGACCTTATTAACCATAACACTTTAGTTTTTTAAAATGTCTGAGTCTGAGAGTGAGTATTCTTCATCTTCTTCGTCTTCAACATCAGAAATATTTATTGAATGGCTTCTTGATGATACTTCCTCCAAACTCACTACCCACTATGTTGCCTTACAAAAACAACAAACAGCATATGCAACTTCTACGTCAAAACGTAAAAAGAAGAAAAGAAGAAATATAGAAAGAAAGCGTGAAGATGGAGATCGACGTCTGTACGAAGACTACTTTTCTGAGAATCCGACATACAATGATGATATATTTCGACGTAGATTTCGAATGCGGAGACCATTATTTCTTCGCATAGTTGAAGGTGTGAAGAATCACGATCGATACTTTCAAAGTGGTATCGATTGTACCGGTAGATCAAAATTATCATCTCTTCATAAGTGTACTGCTGCGATACGAATGTTAGCATATGGTCTAGCTGCAGATGCCGTTGATGAATATTTACGAATTGTTGAAACTACAACAATAAAATGTGTTAAGAAGTTTGTACGAGCTATTATTGCAGTGTTTGGGACGAGTATTTATGAAGACCAAATGTCGCTGACCTTCAACGATTACTTTATATTGGGTACCAACGCGGTTTTCCAGGTATGTTAGGCAGTATTGATTGTATGCATTGGGAGTGAAAAAATTGTCCGGTGGCATGGCACGGACAATATACTAGAGGGGACAATAAAACTCCAACTATTATGTTAGAAGCAGTTGCTTCACAAGATTTGTGGATATGGCATGCTTTTTTTGGGCTTCCAGGCACATTAAATGATATCAATGTGTTAGATCGATCTCCCATCTTCCACGAGGTCTTAGAAGGGAAAGCACCAGAGGTAAATTTCTATGTTAATGGTAACAACTATAGTTTAGGATACTACCTTGCAGATGGAATCTACCCTAACTGGGCTACGTTTGTGAAATCCATCCCATTGCCCCAAAGTAAAAAACATCAGCTATTTGCAAAAAAACAAGAATCAGCTAGGAAAGATGTAGAAAGAGCGTTTGGCGTATTACAATCATGATTTGCCATAGTTAGAGGTCCATCACGGATGTGGTTCAAGGAAATAATCGGAGAAATATTACGAGCTTGCGTAATAATGCACAACATGATTGTCGAAGATGAACGTGACTCATACATTCGTCAATTTGATTTCACAGATGATACTAATTTCAGTATATCTATGCCTGAAGTTTCTCGAAATCATCTTCCTGAGTATGAAAATTATCTTCGAAGTCATGCAAGAATACGTAACAGGACTCACAACAATCAATTACAAGCGGATTTGGTTGAAGAGATTTGGAGCCGATTTCAAGGAGAAGAAAACAATGATTAATGTAACGTTTTATTTCTATCTATATGTAATATTTTTAATTCAATAAATGTTGTGTTTTGATATGATTTAATAAATTAATGTTTCAAATTTAAAACAATAAATTATATAATTATTATATTATATTATATCATATATTAATCGTTTTAATTAACATTGAATTAAAATAAAACATGTTATTAATTAAAAAATAATTATAATGTATATATAAATAATTTATAAAATAGTTAATAAATGTTGTAGTGGGGACCACTTTTGAAAGTGTAGGTGAATTGCAGGTGTGTAGGTGGTAATTGCAAAAGCTGACGTGACACAATTGAAAGTGTAAATGGATTGCAGGGATGTGGATGATCTTAGCACTCTTCGATAAACAATATTAAATGACCTAAAAGTTTGATAAATGACATCATTTCACCTATCTTCCTCTCTCTTATATCCCCCCTATCTCTTACACTGTTTTTTGTTTTTTAATTAATAGATAATAATAATTATTAGTCTATGGTGATTATAATTTTTATTTGTATTATATATTAATCAAATTTAAAATCAATATATTAGAAAGACAATATGTCTTGTTATTTATAAAAAATAATTTATCATTTATTTTGTAATTTTACAAATTTTAACTGCATATACAATCGTATGGTTTGTCTGTATAAAAAATTGAATAAAAACTTTAAAAATTCATATGCTAATCCTTAATTTTCATTTTATCTGTATTTTCATAAAATATATAATTAATTCTTTTGCAACTATAAACATTCAGAAAATAATCCATCATCTTTTCCGACTTTAAAACTTAAAAAATAACCAATCAAATTTTTATTTAAGTTTTTGGATATTCAAATTCTAATTTCATCAGTTTTTTAGCAATCTTTAAAAATTCAGATGATGACTCGTTTGTAACATCCCCCATCCACGTGGTCCAGAACGAGCGGTGTCACTAACGAGACTTAATTCAAAGACACAAACATTAAAGAACTACTAATAAAGTTCGAACATAGATTAACTCTTAAAACATATTTTACAACCCAAAATATTACATTCTAACAACTATTTATAAACATAGAATATTAACATCTATAAGCGAGTTTACAACTCCAAAAGTCAAACGTTCGATCTCAAGTCCCGTCCCTACCAGTATCATTTGGAACTTGTCATGTCAGTAAACAAGAACAATGCTGAACACGGGGCTCAGTTAACAGTTATAATATAAATTTGAAATAATAATATGTAACATCGATAATAAAATGAAAAACTCACAATTCAATTAAACTGAATTAATAGAAAAATCAAGACGTTTCACAAATCTCATTTCAAACATTATATAAATAAAATTCGTCAATTTCTGTAATGTTCTTGGGGTTGCCAAACCACACGAATTATCGGGCCAGCATGCGGGCACACACCCCGAGTCCTTTGTGAATTTAACCACTGTCACATGGTGGGTAATCCTAGGATCGATCCATCTGCCCTGGAGCCAATAAAATCGGCCTAGTCCACAAGGTTATTCACGAAAGCCACTATTGAGCCTAACCCTGTGGACCGAGTTCACCTGTAGGACGCCATGACTACAAAGCCGCCATAGAAGGCATCCCAACTAAAGTGCCCATCAATTGGGTGATGTTGAAAGCCAATAAAACTAAACATGTGCCATTACTTGGATGACTTTCATAAAACGTCAAGTTTCAATATAATTCATAAAAGTCAAAACTACTTCAAATATGTGAATCAATAGACTAAACTCAAATGTTAAAAATAAATGTTCAACGATTTATACATATAAGTATGTATTTTGTTTATCACTTTTAAGTGATCAATCACCAGACGGTGAACCACCGTTACTAAAGGTCAACTAAAACAACTAGTTGTCCAAGAGTCAAAGAAAGTGAAATTCGTACCTTAGGCGAAATAGAGAAGTAAAGCACGATCAAACGGGATACACGATAAGGTTCGACTTGCTTGCGTGCCTAACAGAAGCGTAAATCAGTTATTACTTAAATGATGTAAAACCATATCCTAATTTAATTAAAAAGTTACTTAGGTGCTACATGTTTATAAACAACTTAAACATCAAATATGACAGCCAGATATGCATTAAGAACTCAAACACAAAAATTAGCTTCATAAAGTTTTGTTATCGACTTTTCACAACTTTTATCTCTCGTCTTCGAGAGCATTTGTATCCCACTTAGAGGTCAATACAGAAGATACTATCTAAATGAAAGTTGTAGTATGGTATATAATCAATCTACTTGTTTTGCAATCACCTCATTTGGGTTATCCATCTATTTTTCACAAATTTTACAAAACAACAGATTAATCTTGAATAAGTGCTAACAACCCCGAAAACACACTGTTTCGAGCCACTTAGAATTATAATTGGCTTTTTAACCCTTCATAAAAGTTGTAGTACACAGTAAGTGATTTCTAACTACAAAATACGAGCTTATTCCGACTTACGGTTTGTGAGTTATTCACTGTCAAAGTTCGGGAGCTGCACTGTCGGTAAAATCCGATTTCACAATTTACCAACCAACTTTTATGATCTAAATTCCATGATTTTGCTACATTTACATGCTCTAAACATACTTCAACATACTAAACAGTAAAACAAGTCCAATAATCGCTAACCTAAGCTTAATCATGCAATTTTACTCTTTTCAACATTTTATCGAACACTTGGTGCGCGGTTAATTATATACACCAAACCTAAATTCCATACTTTACCCTTTTAATTTGTACATCAATTTTAACCAATACTAGAATTATAAACATGAAATATATCAATCCATAAACTTAGAAATAAACATAATTTATAAACCGGTCTCAAGATTTCTAACATAAACACCCTAATAAAATTGAAAGAAATTTAGACCTTTAGGAAAGATTCGGAGTGGATTCCGAATATATAATTGTCAATTTGTCTTCTTCAGTAATTTTACTTGAAATTTAGAGAGAATACGAGAGTTTTAGAGAAAGAAAATGAGGCGGTGAATGTTGCAAATGAAAACAGGGACGATAGTTTGCAATACTCTAACATTTTACATATATATCTACTTTTTTTTCTTATATATATAATTATTTTTAAGAGTTTAGGAGTTTGAAAAGTTTTAACTCCTCAATAATTACTGACCGTTATTTAAGTACGATACAATTCGGGTAAACTCGGGTCTTATAATTCCCCCCCCCCCTTAACGAGATTTCATCCCCAAAATCGTGTATAGACATGAAACTTACATCAA